ATATATATATTATTTGCAAACAAAACCATCTTTTTGTTTTACAACATCTTTGTTTAAAACATCTTTAAACATGACTCATAAAATGAATTCAGAGTCAGTAATGCCTTTTATAATATTGCTAAAACACCTAAAGCAAGTAATGTTAGTGATGCAGTTTTAACTGTATTCAGATGGGGGCGATATTTCCTGCCTTTTAACAGCCACTGATATTCTCTCCAGTGTTCTGAACAATCCCTGCTCTCATTTCAGATGCTGATTTGATAAACAGTCTGTTTGAATGAGTCTGTCTGAATATTGAGGACATGAAAGTGTTGTTAATTTCGACTGCATCTGAACGTGTATGAATGTCTTGATGCTGATAGTGTGTGCTGCACACCTTCGCTCTCGAGTGTCTGCGGTGAGCTGTGGGAGTTCTGCCTCTCCTGCGACCTCCTCTCCAGGGCTCGAACTCTGGCCTGTGAGCGCTGGATGAAATCAGGCCGTCTGATCGCTAAAGCCTCCTGCACACACAGAGCACACACTTTCATTAAAGGACCAAAAGAACAGTTCAATTCAAAGTTCAAAGTCCAAAATCAAGATGTTCAAAGCTGCATTAAAATCACAAATCGGTGAAATCACTGATATCTTTGGCATTTATTATCTTTTGACAATTATTTCTGCTAAACACTATAACAGCTGTGTTTGGATCATGATAGCAGGTTTCTAGCTGGTCTATGATAGTCATTAGCTGGTTTACCAGTTTAAAATGTATTTTCTACAAGCAAAAATATTCTCCTCTATAAAACTAACTAAATAAATTAATTAAATTAAAATTTTACAAAAGCAAAAAAAAAAAAAGATTATATGGATAATAATAATAAAAAAAATACAAATTGTATGTTGCAAGGAAAGAGAGATTAACACCTAGAAAACATGATTTATTTTTACATTTTTATTTTATGTTGTTGTTTTTTTTGTTTTCTCAAAAAAACTTTTCTCAAAACTTTCTCTTGGGAAAAAATTTATTTCAAATAAAATGTTTAACTCAAGTAAATATATATATA